AGTTGTGAAGAGATATTCGACATTTAGACATTGCTCTAACTAATCGTTTGTCTCTGAGCACTGTTATGTATAACTCGGGTTGCAGAAGAGATTTCATATCAGCATGAGGCACTAAAAAGTAGACGACTCTAGACTGTTAGTCCCATGATTGGAAATATATATCTCTTACGCGTCTTCTAAATGCAGATAAAAACATGTTCTTATCACCAACATCTTGGAATAACCACACATACGCAAAAGCGCAATTTAAATAACATTTGCTTCACATTCGATACCCAGTTGACTTTACCATTCTCATCTAAAACTTTAAGCATAATATAACATAACTTTGGAAGGGGTATCGACTTGCATTCTTTCGCAAGAGCTTAATCCAGTACTAACCCACTCTCTCCGTCACTAACCCACTCTCTCCTACACTAGCCCACTCTCTTCTACACTAACCCACTCTCTCCTACACTAACCCACTCTCTCCTGCACTAGCCCACTCTCTTCTACACTAACCCACTCTCTCTTACGCCAACCCACTCTCTCCTACACGAGCCCACTCTCTCCTACACTAACCCTATCTCTCCTACACTAACCCACTCTCTCCTACACTAACTCAATCTCTTCTACACTAACCCACTCTCTTCTACACTAACCCACTTACTCCTACTGTAATCCACTCTCTCTTACACGAGCCCACTCTCTTCTACACTAACCCACTCTCTCCTACACTAACCCACTCTCTCCTACACTAACTCACTCTCTTCTACACTAACCCACTTACTCCTACTGTAATCCACTCTCTCCTACACGAGCCCACTCTCTTCTACACTAACCCACTCTCTCCTACTTACTATATCCTCCTGTGGTCAGAATGTGCTCGGATCTGAGCAGAGATTGTGGAGTTTCAAGTTACAAAATGACATTCCATTAACAGGCTCAGTGCTGGTCCTTATGCAGAGGGGCCTTAGGATGGTGTATCTTGAGACAGATAACAGAGATCATATTGCCAACCAAAACCACTGTAACAAAGTATACTGTAGTCCGCTCTCTCTTACACAAACCCACTCTCTCCTACACGAGCCCACTCTCTCCTACACTAACCCAATCTCTTCTAAACTAACCCACTCTCTCCTACTGTAATCCACTCTCACTTACACTAACCCACTCTCTCCTACACTAACCCACTCTTTTCTACACTAACCCACTCTCTCCTACACGAGCCCACTCTCTCCTACACTAACCCACTCTCTCCTACACTAACCCACTCTCTCCTTCACTGACCCAATCTCTTCTACACTAGCCCACTCTCTCCTACACTCAATAATACAACATGTATACGAACTATCTATATATCTGACCAAATAACTTACTTCCAAACACATATTATTCATTTTACAGAAATCAACTTTTAAATACGATTGCATTACCTTTACAGATTCTAGATGGAGAAGGGAGACCGATATCTGATACGAAGGGGTTGTCATTTGTATTTTCAAAACCACTACCGAAACGATTGAAGGGACACTGCCTCAGTGACAGTGGGGACCCTACCCAGCTCGTGGGTGTACAACGTTATGTCTGTACTCTCAATCACGATCTCACTACCTGTCACAGACAAAGTTCACTTGCACACCCCTGGGGAATAATTCTGACAGATCAAGATCACTAATGAAATAAACATTTTTTAAAAACACGTCATCGCAATAACAATTCATGCAATCGTATGCTTGAGTTGATAAAAAAAATCACCTAAAACTTTTGTCCATATGTTTAAATCTAATTTTGTAATGAATTAGAGATGGGGCTTTAAACCTGCCTTGATCAACGAGGTAGTACTTATTACACTTTTCCAAATACTGGTAGATCTTCCTGGTGTTGTGATCGATATCAAGACCCACTGCGGAAGACAAATGTTTTAAGAACCTTCAAAAGACGCCATCAACCAAGAAATGCATACGCATTTCTTATCAAGTTAACTAGAGCCAATGAGCTCTCTGCTTTAAAGAGTGGCTGTCGTTGGCATGCTATTGTTTTCTAAACAGGAAGTGACATATATCACACCGGAAGTGTTGTGGTCTTCCTTGCTATAATGGCTTGACACATGACATTATGGCTTATAGTCTTGCTGTAGTAGAGTGTAAAACCGGAAGTGTCGTCACCGGACAGGAAGTGCAAGTAACTTTCTTATCAAGCAGGAGCAGTGACAGGAAGCAACATGCTTGACTGGATCTGTTTTGGGATGAACATTTGAATATTAAATTGAATTTCAAATGACTCAATCTACCCAAAATGTTTTAGGAAAGGGCATGTATTTTCTTTCTTCTATGCTATTGCAGTTGTGTGAAAGAAAATATCTCAAATCAAATACATACCCAATTTCAATTAAATCTACCTACAGACTAAAGACAGCCAATGAACACTAATTAAATGTCATCATCCACACTCAAACTTGATCGTAAATGTTGTCAGTATATATCATTAAACACTTAGAATATTAATACAGTGAAATAAGGTTATAACGAACTCAAATGGACCACTAATTTAAGTTCGTTATAATCGTAGTTCGTTATAAGCATACATACCATATCTATACAGCAAATGGCGGGACCAAAATTTACGTTCGTAATATCCGTGAGTTCGTTATAAACGTGTTAGTTATAAACGTATTTTACTGTATTAGTCTTTGAATAATTGCAATTGCAAACACTGCTTCTTCGATTTACACACAACAAGAACCCGCTTGTGAGTTAGTGGGAACATATTGCGTGGTGCCGTCGTGTAACCCTTGCCCCTACATGACTGTGTCTGGATCTGGATCTGGATCTGGATCTGGATCGGACAAACCAGTGGACGATGAACGCCACAGGGGTAGGTTGTCATATCATCGTAACAATACATATTATAGTCACAGGCAGGCGGCATCCCCATGGGCACCAATCGCCTTTGCATTTGTTTGTGACGGGTGCACCGGTGTGTCTCACTTTCTCGCGAAACAGTTTTTGATAGTGATTCGAAAACACATGCTCATGATATAGTCGGAATCGTACAATGGAGATTTCTTATGATCATTGAATGTGTTTTCGCTTTTATTTATCTTGTATTTAGTAGTAGTAGTAGTAGTAGTAGTAGTAGTAGTAGTAGTAGTAGTAGTAGTCTGTGTACATGTAATTATGTCAGCGGTCCTATGCCACAGTGATGTTTCACGTAGAAGTCAATCGAAGTATTAAAAAATAATAATGCAGGACGTGTATTTATTATTAAAGAACACACAGGAGGTTAAGGGGTTGTATTTCAACTCGGGTATTATTGACGTAATCAACAGTGCTCTTATTAATGAATAATCGTGATATTTCTATGTTGAATCTAACACCGTTTTCAGACGAATCTTAGTTTTACTTTGATCGTGCTGTGTGATTCTCGTGACGTTTCAACGCAGAGGTGGCCTTCCGATTTGCGTGCATAAAGTGAGTGTCCTTATCGTGTTGCCTTACATGGCGAACAATGCCGTCTACTGTTCGTTATTACACCGTCTACTGTTCGTTATTACACCGTACGGGCCAAGCTCCAGATCGAGCCACCACGACAAGCCAGCTGTGTTTATGTGTGTCATACAACATCCCCAACTAACTGTATACATAGTTCATATACCTCACAGCCGGAGCCCTTCCTATCGCCGCCATTTTGAAATTGTAAATTGTTTTTGACACATGACAGTTTGATTGATGAATGTCTTGTGTTTAGTAGGTTCAACTTAAAAAGAAATACATGACCTACATCTTATTGTCATTAGATTACATTCGACGTTATCCTGTTCGACTACAGGGTCTGTGTGGTTCATAGTTTTTTCGCGCATACAACATTGGCGTGGATGAATATGACTTTGGCAATATCATTCATAATTAGTCCCGTGAAGATCCGGGGTAGAATAGGTCTTCAGCAACCAATGCTTGCTGTAAAAGGCGACTATGATTGTCTTAAGAGGCGACAAAGGGATCGGGTGGTCATGATCATGATATCAATCACTGAATTGTCTGGTCCAGACTCGATTATTTACAGACCGCCGTCATATAGCTGGAATATTGCTGAGTGCGGCGTTAAACAACAAACAAACAAAACTTCGTAATTAAATATGAAGGGGATTATTGTCCAGTGTGATCAATAACTGGAAAAGAAGCTTAGTGACTCCAGTCATTCTCAGCTCCCTTCGAAGTATACAGTCGTTGTTGCATGCTGGGGTGTTACGTCCTTATCTCCGTATCATTGTACCGGGTATCGTGATCAAAAGCAATTGTCGAACCAAAGTCACTTTGCTAATGGCGACATGTATACTACTCAAAAGAAGTTAAGGATCACCTGATTCTTTCATATTACTATAGTTAATCTCTCATGTCATGACAGATTAACTTTACCATTATGAAAGAATCGGGTGATCCTTAACTTCTTTTGAGTAGTATAATTCAACATGTAATTCAGTGGTAGAAAACAACCTTAACAGTATTCCAGTCATATCACGGCGTGTCAGCTTAATGTGGGAGGAAAGCCCGAAGTGATGCAGGTCTCAAACGTTTTAAATGACCATTTCGGTGAGACCCACGAGCACGGATATGGTGCTGAAAAACCTAGAAACATAATTTGGGAGACCCGGATTCGAACCCACAATCATAGGTTTCTGGCGTGCCCAAGGGACGCAACTCTGCGCAGCGAATCGCGGCGCCTTAGACAACTTGGCCACCCGTGCCCCCAGCTACCTTTAAAAGCTATATAAGAGTGAGTGAGTGAGTGAGTATGGTTTTACGCCGCTTTTAGCAATATTCCAGCAATGTCACGGCGGGGGACACCAGAAATGAGCTTCACACATTGTACCCATGTCGGGAATCGAATCCGGGTCTTCGGCGTGACGAGCTAACGCTTTAACCACTAGGCTACCCGACCGCCCCGTGAGTTATCAAGGTGGGAGGTGTATTGGGTGTTGTTCCACACTCAAGTGTACAAATACGTTCTTCTTTATACAGAATTACAAACGTGGCCTCAGACTATGGGAACCTGTTCTGCATCGTGTTGGGTGTATCCGACCTACCCTATAAGGTGCGTTTAAATTTCCGAATATTTGATTGGTTCATTTCTTGTATAGATCCCATTTCAGGTTACCCCCGCTGAACGTATATACAGTGCTAAACTCATATTCAGGTTTACATCCTCATTCCAGGGACTTCAGTGACCTTTCCCGACCCGGATGGGTCACGTGACCACGAGCCTCGCGTCCCGCCTCGAGACCGGGTGTAGGAAGACACTGTTTGTCTTGGGGAGTATTGCAGTCACAGTATTGTGCCTCGCGCCGGCGGAAAAGTAAACTGCATCATCTACAAAAAGTATGCAGTAAAGTGTTTCTGAGTAATAATGGTCATTAACTCTATACTTAAAGTGAGAATATATCAAATACCCATCACAAAGTGAACTTGGAATGAATCTTATATTCACTTGTGCGTTTGCCATTTCGCATTGATCAGTGTTGTCAGTGATACCATCATATATCGTTAGGATATGAGTGAATGTCTGACCGAGGTATGTGTGTATGAGTGAATGTCTGACGGAGGTATGTGTGTATGAGAGAATGTCTGACGGAGGTATGTGTGTATGAGTGAATGTCTGACGGAGGTATGTGTGTATGAGTGAATGTCTGACGGAGGTATGTGTGTATGAGTGAATGTCTGACGGAGGTATGTGTGTATGAGTGAGTGTCTGACGGAGGTTTGTGTGTGCGAGTGAGTGTCTGGGGGATGTATGTGTGTATGAGTGAGGGTGTTTAAATATATACTTGTAACGAACATTGCTGTATAGATTATTATAACGAACTACGGTTATAACGAACTGAAATTAGTGGTCCCTTTGAGTTCGTTATAACCGTAGGTTACTGTACAACCATTCAAGCTCCGGATCCTGTCCACCTGATCCGCTTTGAAGTGGATTCTTCGGACAAGTCACGTGGTGCTGATGACCTCTTCTGAATCGGAATCCTGACAGGGTCTTGACTTCTTGTACGCATATTCGCCCGTGAAGATCCGGATTAGAACAGGTCTTCAGCAACCCATGCTTGTCGTTAGTGGCGACTGACGGGATCTGCAGGTCAAGCTCGCGGACTTGTTTGATGCATGTCATCGTATCCCAGTTGCGTAGATGACAATCACTGGATTGTCTGGTCCAAACTCGAATATTTATAGACCGAGATCATATAGCTGGAAAATATCTGAGTACGACATTAAACAACAAACTAACAAAACACAAACTGTGTTTTGGAAATGCTGTAATAGTAATTACATGTGAGTGAGTGAGTGAGTGAGTGAGTGAGTGAGTGAGTGAGTGAGTGTTCGAGGATCTTCAGCAGGTCTTAGCTGATAATGCTACAATTGCTGGCCTAAACAACACTCTGTTCACGTTTAAAAATGAGACAGGCGAGACTTCAGGGAACATTACTTTTAAGCGTCGGGTAGGCAATGCGTCTGTCTTTGAAGGAACGTTCAAGGTGTACATTGAATTGTTTACCAAGGGCGGTGACATCACAATAGACGGGGAAACTACGACAGTGATGGAGGGAGACGTGAGAGTGGTTGTGGAGATGGCGGACATGATGTTTAACGAAACTGCTGCCACCTTGAAGCTGATGCTAAACATTAAAGGACCTGCCACCCCGGCAATGTTGAAACCTGCGGGGACAGGAGTGAGTGAGTGAGTGAGCGAGTGAGTGGAAGTTGATAGGGTTTTGCCACTTTTGTGAAACCCACCACGAGCACGTGTGTGGTGCTGACAGACTTAGTTTCGCAATCGGATCAAATCTTGGATTTGAGCAAATGATCAGCGGATCCAGGATGTGCTAGGGGAGGCAATTATGCACAGCGGGTTGCGGCGCCTTAGATCACTTTCAGATTGCATCTACTTGATGTTGCCAAGAGGGCACAGATTAACAACAGAGTTCGATAAAGGCCGAGTACGAGCAATATATCCTTAGTTTAATGTATTAAAGTACACTACTAACATATCTGGGACTGGGCTGTGAGCAATGGTGAGATTGAGACTCCAAAAAAAATCTTCATGGTTGGCCAAACTCGTTTAAATGTACCTCACATTTTCTCTCAGCTGTTTGGCAAGTGGCGTTACACAGGCTCACATCCTCATTCCAATCCAGACACGCAAACAACAGATATGAAAGGACGATTGCACAACGGGTAGTTTACACAAGAGGGTAAAGTATGACTCATAACCGGTTTATCTTTAAAGGGGAATTTTACTGATTCCCCAGTAGACGCCGGAACGTGAAGCAAGTACGTCTGCATCTGCAATGAACCAAAAAAAATTCCACGTATTTATTCGTACCGATGATGTTTATGTTTCATGGGCGTGCATCATTTCGCAAGTCCTGTTTGCTAACCAGATCAATCATATACTGACAATGAAAGCCAAATATTTCTTGAGCAGACAGGTTTGCGTGATATCTCAGCTTGGACGTACAATAACCATCAGCGATGATTAGAAGTGTGGATTTGATTAGTTATGTTTCATAAAATATGTGTTAGTGAAAATGAAATGACACTGTTAAAAGTTATAATATACATAAATCTTAAAAAGGAAATAAACAAGAATGGTTATGGTGATGGGTTTTTTTTATTATTTGTTTTTATACGGGTATCATTATAATGTTTCGGACCTTAGGTCCGCAGTGCTTCGAACACTGCTTCAGCCTTGAAACATTTTTACAACGTTTGTATTTTTTCGAAGCCAATTTTCAAGAGTTTACTTCATTTTGCCCGACAGATTTGATTAGTCTCGAACCTTGCGTAGCGACGAAACTTTCAATGATAATTCTCGACGGGGATATACTGAGGGGCAAAAGAAAGTACACCGTGTTTGTTTCTCAAGTTTTATTATGTCTTTTTAACCATGACTCATTCCTGCAACAGGCTGGGTAATTTTGTGTAAAAATAAAATTGTCAATGAAGACTAGGGTAAGAAATGAATTTGCAACCACCCGATCCTTGCCATGTTTGAAAGGTTGTAAATTTGTGCCGAAAAAAAGCAAATGTCTTGACTTTCAAGTATAATATGTCTAAAATACCCATCATTAGTTCTGTATTATGCAAATTATTTTTTTAGTTTCAAATCAAATCATGTTTTAAAAAATGAAACCATGTAGAAATATTCTCTGAGGGCTAAAACAAACGCCAGTACGGTTAATTATTAATCAGATTTGTAGTTTGATTGTGAGTAGGTTATATCGTCCATAGAAATTGTTCTTAGAAAATGGAAAACATGTTGATTTAAATATGAGGCATTATTGTTGGACGTCACGAACAATGGATGACGTCGTCTTCAATTATTTGTGACAATTCGTTCAAATGGCGTCACGCGTCTTCGTAAACAATGGACACTGTGGAACAATTGCTACATACTAGCCAGTGGGCATGAGTGAGTGAGTGAGTGAGTATGGTTTTACGCCGCTTTTAGCAATATTCCAGCAATATCACGGCGGGGGACACCAGAAATGAGGTTCACACATTATACCAATGTCGGGAATCGAACCCGGGTCTTCGGCGTGACTAGCGAACGCTTTAACCACTGGGCTACCCGACCGCCCCCCAGTGGGCATGACATGAGGCAAATAGTATAATTCCCATTGAGAATTACTGAAAATAACCGAATCTATGTATATAACACATGCATCATTGACCAGCGTATATATGTCATACATCAATGACTCGTGTATATAACACATGCATCACTGACCAGCGTATATATCTCATGCATCAATGGCTCGTGTATATAACACATGCATCATTGACCAGCGTATATATCTCATACATCAATGGCTCGTGTATATAACACATGCATCATTGACCAGCGTATATATCTTATGCATCAATGGCTCGTGTATATAACACATGCATCATTGACCAGCGTATATATCTCATACATCAATGGCTCGTGTATATAACACATGCATCACTGACCAGCGTTTATATCTCATGCATCAATGGCTCGTGTATATAACACATGCATCATTGACCAGCGTATATATCTCATACATCAATGGCTCGTGTATATAACACATGCATCATTGACCAGCGTATATATCTCATGCATCAATGACTCATGTATATAACACATGCATCATTGACCAGCGTATATATCTCATGCATCAATGACTCATGTATATAACACATGCATCATTGACCAGCGTATATATCTCATACATCAATGAATCGTGTATATAACACATGCATCATTGACTAGCGTATATAACACATGCATCATTACGTCATGTTTATAGCTAAAATTGATAGAATTATCATTAAACCGCCCGCATGTTATCAGAAATCAGGGGGCCACTGTAACTTGATAATGCCCTCATATTGCTTGACGACGGGACATTATCACGCCCGTTGTTAGGTGAGGTCATAGGATCGGGATAAGTGACGTCACTTTGAATAGGGAAGTCATCTGGTTTGTCCTATGACGTTTCCATATTTGTAAAAGTGGGTCAGTGGCATTCGTGTTGATTGCAGTAAATGTTTCAAAACCAATATTGTTGTGGTTTTTTTATTTGACAACAATTCCCATCAATTTTAGCTATAATAAGGACCCGTGAAGATTCCGGGTAGAATAGGTCTACAGCAACCCATGCTTGTCGTAAAAGGTTAACGGGATAGGGTGGTCAGGTTCGCTGACTTGATTGATACAAGTCATCAATCCCAATTGCGTGGATCGATGCTCATGATGTCAATCACTGGATTGTCTGGTCCAGACTCGATAATTTTACAGACCGCCGTCATTTAGCTGGAATATTGCTGAGTGCGGCGTTAAACAACAAACAAACAAACTATAATAAGGGTAACGCTATTTTTCAGGGCATTATCATTTGCAGAAGCCCTCGGTCTTTTCAACTGCCCTCCTTCGTCTGGCCGTCAATGGAAGATCTCGTATATAACACATGCATCATTGAGTTGTGTATATAACACATGAATCATTGACTCGTGTATAAAACACATGCTTCATTGGCTCATGTATATAACACATGAATCATTGAGTCGTGTATACAACACATGCATCATTGACTCGTGTATATAACACATGCATCATTGAGTCGTGTATATAAAACATGCATCATTGGCTCATGTATATAACACATGCTTCATTGACTCATGTACATGTATATAACACATTAATCATTGAGTCGTGTATACAACACATGCCTCATTGAGTCGTGTATATAACACATGCCTCATTGAGTCGTGTATATAAAACATGCATCATTGGCTCATGTATATAACACATGCGTCATTGAATCGTGTATATAACACATGTGTCATTGAGTCGTGTATATTACATATGCCTCATTGAATCGCGTATATAACACATGCGTCATTGAGTCGTGTATATAACACATGCGTCATTGAGTCGTGTATATAACACATGCTTCATTGAGTCGTGTATGTAACACATGCGCCATTGAGTCGTGTATATAACACATGCATCATTAACTCGTGTATAAAACACATGCCTCTCTGAGTCGTGTATATAACACATGCGTCATTGAGTCGTGTATATAGCACATGCGTCATTGAGTCGTGTATATAACACATGCATCGTTGAGTCGTGTATATAACACCTGCGTCATTGAGTCGTGTATATAACACATGCTTCATTGACTCATGTATATAACTCATGCGTCATTGACTCATGTATAAAACACATGCATCATTGACTCATGAATATAACATGTGCATCATTGAGTTGTGCATATAACACATGCCCCATTGACTCATGTATACGACACATGCTTCATTGAGTCGTGTATATAACACATGCGTCATTTACCCGTGTATGCAAAACATGCACTTAGTACAATATATCCAATACTCTTTAAGAAGTCGGTCATTATAAACAATTTTACAGCAAAATGAGTCAGACAAAACAACATTGCAGCGACTTAGCCCAGGGTTTGACGCTATTTCCCATTCACATCTGCCATGTTGCAGTGAGACTTCGTGAACGCCTGCCCCCCGGGTACACCGGGCACAAGAATGCGAGGTGCATTCATGTCTCCAAGCAGTTTAACAACTGTGCTCGCTGTTTTCTCAATGCAGCTCAATCTGCGTATCACGCTTCTCTTCAGCTCCACGCAGCGCGACTTTCTCAGTCAACGATGTCACCACTCGTCCCAGTCATGCAGAACACTGAACCTGGACATATTGTCAGGCTCCATGTGTTCTACCACTTGGCCCTAGTTCGCTCATGTATCCGACTGACGAGTTTACGGCGACCTAAAGTGCGATCTTCTAACTTCATCAAGCCGAATGACTGAATTGAAAGCATGTTGTATAAGTACAACAGTACAGCCTTTGTGGAACGTTATTGCGAATGTCGAACCTTTCTCAACATTGGAATAAAACCTGAAAGGAAATATTATCATAGATAATAATTAGTCATAGATTGGATTTTCATAAATTTTTCGTGACTAGCATGGGAGTTAAATGTTCATCCACCCGCGAAATAGTTAAGAAAGACGGGTATGTTAAGGCGTGGTCTGGGTACAGTCGTTCTTCGTGATATTCATCGTCCTGAAAACCCTCGAAATATCAAAGTCGCTATGTGTCATGACTAGCTTTGGATTTACGAATACGTCGGGGTGGATTTTACCAATGAAAAGCTAAATCGGCAACAGTCGTGACTACACTGCTCGGCTGAAGGATATTGCGAAATACTTAGACTTTTCAACTGATAAAACCGGTTTGGGCGTTGACCACAACTACATCACTTCGTAGCATCAGTATTCTCACAACTAATATACATCTTACATCTGATGACTAACGAGAGAAGGCCACATAATATTATTACAGTATTGATTTGATGGTATTATCTGTGCTGTCCACGTTTGTGTCTGAACATTGATACAGCTATTTGGTATTTCAAGAATCCCGTGTCAACCCCAACGACTACAGTCAACTCTAATATAACCATGATTCTTCAAGTCAGTTCGACATAATCGAATTTCTCTATATATATACATGTATACGAACTGAGGGGTTAAAACCTGATATATCCACAATACCTGTGGTCTAAGCTGGTAATCTCCAATATTCCGTTATTAGTGTTCATCCAGTGCATGTGCACTGGACAGTGTGCATACAGTTTTTCAGATCACGAAGATGCAACCTATTAATTTAGTTTGTATACATGCATATCAATTTATCTACACATACAAATCTCGAAATATTTATTTGTGCAGTAATAAAACATTACACGACAGATCTCATAACCCAGCAAAGTCAAAAGAGACTTCAAGCTATACACTAACAGTCACATGGTAGGTGACAACTGTTTAATGCGTCTAATTTCCTCTCCGCGTTCTGGTGTAACTCTACCACCCATGCTTTCTAGAATGTGAAAATGAGGCCTCTTTTTTATAGTCGATGCGATCGCGTTGATAATATATATTAACCAATCGCTGCGAGGCAGGACAGCCAATGAGAGAGCGGCTGTGTATTTTGCACCTGTGGGACGGGACACGTGGTTTGTGCAGGTAATAAAGGTAATTGTACATTGCTGGGAGCGTCTACCTGTGCGATAACAACCTCCACATCACCAAGACATCTAGAGACGTCTAGAGGCGAGAGACACTTGGACTGTACCCGTGATACATTGTGAAGTATTTAACCACGATGATGAAGTTGAGTTTGGCCGTGTTGGTGTTGTGTGTGGCGGCCTGTACCGCAGACACATCCTATAAAGTAAACATCAATAACACTTACGTGGAATTTATGACAAAATCGCTAATGGCGTCCAAACAGAGTGACATTTCCAAAGACGAAAATAAACTGACTGTAATGTTCGCGGATCTTCAGCAGGTCAAAGCTGATAATGCTCCAATTGCTGGTCTAAACAACACTCTGCCTGCAGCAATGTTCACGTTTGAAGATGAGACAGACGAGACTTCAGGGGACATTACTTTTAAGCGTCGGGTAGGCAATGCGTCTGTCTTTGAAGGAACGTTTAAGGTGTACATTGAATTGTTTACCAAGGGCGGTAACATCACAATGGACGGGGAAACTACGACAGTGATGGAGGGAGGCGTGAGAGTGGTTGTGGAGATGGCGGCCATGACGTTTGCGGAAGATGCTGCCACCTTGAAGCTGATGCTAAACATTAAAGGACCTGCCACCCCGGCAATGTTGACACCTGCGGGGACAGATGGGGTCGCCTACAATCTCGGGGAGGGTGGCGCTGTCAGACTCTCCAAGAAGGTGAGTGATGTTGTAATGCTTAATGTGTTAGACTAGATGTCATAGATTCTTGAAACGGCCACCGTGACGGGATATTACAGTGAGTGAGTGAGTGAGTGAGTGAGTGAGTGAGTTGATTGTGTTGTCTGTGCATTAATTGTCGGTTGACTGTGTTGTCTGTGCATTGATTGTCGGTTGACTGTGTTGTCTGTGCATTGATTGTCGGTTGATTGTGTTGTCTGTGCATTAATTGTCGGTTGACTGTGTTGTCTGTGCAATGATTGATGGTTTACTGTGTTGTCTGTGCATTGATTTTCGGTTGATTGTGCCGTCTGTGCATTAATTGTCGGTTAACTGTGTTGTCTGTGCAATGATTGATGGTTGACTGTTGTCTGTGCATTGATTGTCGTCTGGTTGTGTTGTCTGTGCATTGATTAGTGGTTAATTGTGTTGTATTCTCTTCGGATACTGACATCTTGGCATTGAACTATCGACCTCTGGTGTTGTCTCTTTGTCAGATACTGACATCTTGACATTGAACTATCGACCTCTGGTGATGTATCGTTGTCATATATTGATATCTTGACATTGAACTAGCGACCCTCTAGTGTTGTATCGTTGTCAGATACTGACATCTTGACATTGAACTATCGACCTCTAGTGTTGTATCGTCAGATACTGACATCTTGACATTGAACTATCGACCTCTGGTGTTGTATCGTTGTCAGATACTGATATCTTGACATTGAACTATCGACCCTCTAGTGTTGTATCGTTGCCAGATGCTGATGCCTTGACACTGCACCAAGCGGTTGCAAATACAGCAATAGATGGACAAATCATTAAACCCCTGGAATATGTCCCCATTAAAAGTTATGTTTAATGAATAAAACAAAAGTACCATCAGTGATGTTTTGTAAAATAATAGTCAGATTCAGTTTCAATTTCTGTTTTAGATTCAATATTTGTCTTGTTACAGGTGATGATAATTACACAGGGCGCTTCCTATCAGTCTGTGACTCCGATGATGTCTGGTAACGACTTCAGCTTCAGCCTCCCTAAAGGTTCCTCCGTGAAATATAGCTTCTTCCTCCAGCTGTCTAAAGCGAAGATGGGTGGTGGTGATGACCCCAGTGCTGCTGCTGCAGTCACCCCGCTCCTGGTCACGTGGGTCGTGGCCGCCGCCTGTAAACTTCTGTTTTAATGCTTTACGGTCTTTGTCAGGCTCTCCGCCCATCTGTCCCGTGCCTTACTTGGATTGGGCGTTACTAGGAAACGGTTGAAAACGGTTACATCGAGTGGCGCACAGGTTGTGGCCTGCATCTGTATTTTAATGTGAGATACTTGGTTTGTTTGTTTGTTTGTTGTTTTACGCCGCACTCAGCAATATCCCAGCTATATGACGGCGGTCTGTAAATAATCAAGTCTGGACCAGACAATCCAGTGATTAACATCATGAGCATCGTTCCACGTAATTGGGATACTATGACATGCATCAACCAGGTCAGCGAGCTTGACCATCCGATCCCGTTAGTCGCTTCTTACGACAAGCATAGTCGCCTTTTACGGCAGGCATGGGTTGGCATGGGTTGTCCATCTGATTGTCTTTAGAGAACACAGTCGTGATTAATGCTGCCCTTGTATTACAACAAATAATGTATGTCTTTCATGTTCTTTTCACATTTAGTACCATCCTCGGCACTGCAGGGACTTGTTTATATTCGTCTTGATTATAAGGAGTCTGCGTGTTTCAGCTGTGTGTTTGAGTATATCTGCTCCCATGACGGCCGATGTACTCGAGGAGTCAGACACTATGACAATAACAGCTTGTTTGAAATCCTGTAAATGTAGCTTGTAGATAGACAGACACATAAACATCATCTTGTGAGTTGGGCATAATGCTTTGAATGTGGTCACTGTTTTAACCTCGCCATGCCTAAAATGTTTCGGTAGGCACCTCGTTTATTCGGAAACCTTTCTGTTCGGACGCCACCACCACCGCCACCACACACACCACCTCCACCTTATGCTGTGTTATGAAGCCACGATGTGGTCATTATATAAACCTGTTGATTATTAAAAGTTATACGTTAACAATTCATAAATCACGTGATTATATTTTTCTCCATTTATCATTTGTTTTGTTTGAGTAGTGACTTATTTCTTAGGACCTTTCTACCCCAATAAACATCATATATACAAATAATACATTGTTTGTTATCATCAGCTGTAGCAGTTTTCCCGCTTGGTATAACAGCGTTTGAGACAAACTGTTGAATATGATCTGACTGAATGGTAACTTCCGACTCATGAAGACAATCCACTCGGGTCAACTCGGCTTTTTCCGCGACACATGAAATTGAAACTATTCCATTCGGGACCAACTCGTGTCGTTTTGGAATAAGCCGAATTTACAGACGAGTGGTGGCGAATGGAGAGCATTCTTAACAACTCGTGCAATATGTATATATTACTTTATGTATTTTAGTTCAAGTGGGTGTAAAAATGTCACTCATTTTCGGGGTGCTTAATAAGAGTACACTCAGGCGAAGCGCACATAAAATACATAGAAGTAAGATAGTGCAGAGGACTCGTGAAGTTCCAATTTATCATTCTAAACAGTTTTATATTTACCAGTTGATATACTGAGTGAGTGAGTTTAGCAGTATTCCAGTCACATCACGGCGTGTCAGCTTAATGTGGGAGGAAAGCCCGAAGTGATGCAGGTCTCAGACGTTTACCACTTCGGTGAAACCCACGAGCACGGGTATGGTGCTGACAAACCTAGAAACATAATCGGGGCGAACCGGGATTCGAACCCACAATAATAAATTTCTGGCGTGCCTAAGGGACGCAACTCTGAACAGCGAATCGCGGCGCCTTAGACGACTGGGCCACCCGTGCCCCCACCAGTTGATATATGTGACCAATCAGGAGATAAGGGACCTTATAGGTGAAAATTCAAAAATTTGATTTTTCATTTTATTTTAAAACTACGGTAACTTAGAAACACAGGGACACAATGCACAAGCTTCAATTATTATTTATTAAAGAGATACACGACATCGAACATTTCGACTCATTTACTTTTAAGTCTCATTTTCAGACTTTTAAATACGTTTATTAATATTTTTTAATTAGCAATAGCAGTTTTTAGATATAATGTCTGATTAATCGAAAAAATATAACTTTTGAAAAAAGTGCTTCGATTACATAACCAACGATCAATAGAAAAAAATCCTTTTTTTGGCAGTCAGCACGCGGGCGAATTTCACGGAAGTTGAATGTCAGATGTCTTTCTTTATGACACAGTACAATAGTATCCTAACACGTTAGGACATAAGACATAAGAACGTCTTTCATCTGGCGGATCACATATGTTGATAATATATCTGGAGCACAGACACCATGAGTGATAGTGTGGGCACCCTCTGCATGGTTCACATTATGGTTTAAGACCTCTTTGATCACTGTTTCAGATGTATCATGTTTGTTTGTTGTTTAACGCCGCACTCAGCAATATTACAGCTATGTGACGGCGATAGGTAAATAATCGAGTCTGGACCAGATAATCCAGTGATTGACATCATGAGCATCGATCCACGCAATTGGGATACGATGACATGCATCAATCAAGTCAGCGAGCCTGACCACCCGACCCCGCTAGTCGCTTCTTACGACAAGCATGGTCGCCTTTTTACGACAAGCATGGGTTGCTGAAGACCGATAAGATATATTAGCTTAATGTGGGAGGAAAGCTAAAAGTGATGCAGGCCTTTGACGTTTATCGCGCTGGTCTCGAGAACGGGAATGTCATTGACCTAGATGCGGATATATATTTTAAAAATTAACATTTAACTAAAGAATTTACCCATTACAGAAGCTTATGACACACAAGTGTATGTGTATTACCCCGATAGTGAGCGATAGGTTTAACTTTAAGTGCAAGTGTCATGGGTACATACAACTTGGCTGAATTGGACGTGTACGATCATGGTCGGCTGTACATGTTCTCAGCAAAGCAAACCTGTTTTTCACCCCTTTTGAACCCTTTAACATCTTCTGTGACCATTTGTACACTGTACTTTCCTTCGTATGGGTGGGGGCGGTCGGGTAGCCTAGTGGTTAAAACGTTCGCTCGTCACGCCGAAGACCCGGGCTCGATTCCCGACATGGGTACAATGTATGAAACCCATTTCTGGTGTCCCCCGCCGTGATATTGCTGGAATATTGCTAAAAGCGGCGTAAAACCATACTCACTCACTCGTATGAGTGGGATTAAAGGGTTAAAATATACTCCTCCTTCTTTCAACAACAGAAAAATGATAAAATGATTTATGTTCAAAATTGAGAAACCGATGTGTGAAACATGGTATTTCTTCAATTGTGGTTCCTACTTATTTTTGCCAAGTGTTTCAGTGTCGGGTGCTTCCGGTAGGGCAGGAAATGATTACCCTTTTCGCGAACACCTGATGTCATTACTGTGTCATTTCATATTACTGGTCCATTCATATAATTTTCGCAGCTATTTTGCCCTCCACGCCAAGTTTGTTTCTGTTTCGGCGGATAATCTATAAAGGTAGTTCTCTTGCATTGACAATTTATATTTCATTTATATTGTTGCGAGACTTTTCTGTGTAACCTGCCAAAGGTGTAATCTATAAGATTACTTGTGACTGTGGCTACTCGTACATTGGTCAAACCTAACGCCCTGGACATACCCGCATCACAGAACATAAGACACCAACAGCCAAAGCAGACCGTAAATCAGCCTTCTCAGACCACCAGCAAAAATCCCCAAGCCTTCAAATCCAATTTTACAAGGTCTAAATCCTCTCAACCAAACATCAAGACTTCACCAAAATAAAACTCACAGAAGCTTTAGCAATCCGCCATCACAAACCTTTGATCAACAGAGACAAAGGGTATCGTCTGCCAATGAAGATCTAATCAAGCAATATACCATTTTTATTAGGATCCAATCAGGATCCAATCAGCTTGTCACAACTGTTTAATCCTTTTAATCCTTATCCTTACTGTAACCTGCCTTCATTACCCGTGTGCTTCATTACCTGTGTGCCATTTGTAATTCCAATTGACTGTAGACAGACAGACAGACAGACAAGTTTATTTTGTCTCACTCGTAGAATACACTTATAATATATCAAAAGAAGTATAAACATAACATTCTACTTACGACAGACAATATGTCTTTAAACATAAACAGTAATACACAGCAATAAGATATATACATATATACATCAATGATATCAAGTGGAACGTCGCTCTGCTGAAATATTATGGCAGATTTTGGCCACGCAAGAAATAAAATCAACGTTTGATAAAATCTGTCTAAACTTTTCACTGTAAGAGTTATTATTAAAATTAGTAAATTTAAGACTACAGCGATTCAGAAGATCAGCCCTACCGTCGTCGTATAAAGAGTAGATAAGTAAACCATGGATCTCGTCTTCCACCTTGTCTGTACAATTAAAGCAACATCTCTCTTCTGGTGGTATGTTTGTGCCTTTAAAGGCGCCACTCCGCATCTGAATTTAGCTGGAGAGCTCATGTGAGCACGGTTGAGAGGGTATTCCACGTATTTGTCTGTGCTGTAGACTTTCTTAAACAACCTGTAGCTTCTTTGTTTGTTTCTTCCACGGTTTCCTTCTCCAACAATAAGTTGTCCCTCCATTTAGACTTATATTCAAACATAAGGCGTTCTTGCACCGTTGCAACAAATAACTTTGTTTAAATTTGGGTATTTATGCTTGTTAAATGTCCCAGGTCGATTCTCTCTAGACATGACGTCACTTTTCCGTTCCAGCTCCTCTTGCAGTTACTTGACCACTCAAATATCTTCTTAGTTATTCTTCTGTTTGGAGTGTTGACAGGTCTGTCCCAGTGTCTTGAGACTGTTGTCCATGATCTGATATATGGCGGGATCCAACCTACTTCTCCATTTATTGCAATGTTTGGTGCGTATTTTCCAAGTCCTAGGACAAAATCAAATAGCTCGATGGTGGATAGCATTGAATGCTCTGTCGTTCCCCATATTGCCGATCCATAGTTAAAACAGACCATACAATAGTGTCGTATAGTTTGATAAAAACGTTAAAAGGCATATAATTTAGAAATTAAAGGTCCCAGGGATCTGTGTGCTGATTTCGCCGCACATGTAGCCATTGCGTTATAGTCTAGGTGTTCAGTTAAATGAGTGAGTGAGTGAATATGGGTTTACGCCGCTTTTAGCAATATTCCAGCAATATCACGGCGGGGGACACAAGAAATGGGCTTCACACATTGTACCCATGTTGGGATTCGAACCCGGTTCTTAGGCGTGATGTGTTCAGTTAAAAGCACACCTAGATAATGATATGAAACTTCGATATCACCACAATGGAATACGGTTGCTGTTCGTGGAATGCTAGGACAAGCAAGCTCGTTGATTGTCTTTAGAAAGTCATTAATATACACATTAAACAACAAAGGTGATAGAAGACATCCCTGTTTCAGTCCTCTGCTCACAGGAAACCATGAAGTCTAAACGTGATTAATGCGCACATAGCATTTCACATTGTGATTAAACGACTTGATGGCTTGCAACAGTTTCCCTCCTATGCCCGCTTCATTTAACTTTCTCCATAAAATCTGTCTATCAATTCCATCATATGCCTTTTTAAAATCAATAAATGCTGTAAATGTAGACTTTCTCAATAACGTTCTCTTTTCAATTATGCTTGTCAATGATGAGATCTGATCTTCCTTTTCTAAAACCATTCTCTAATCAGGCAGAATGTCATTCTTTTCAGCCCATGTGTTAAGAAGAAGAAAAGAAGAAAAAGAAAAATAGTTTATTTAAGTGTCCAGCGGTGTATACATAAAATTATATCAATTTATCGGTAGATAAATATAAATTAAAATATATACATCGCCCGGCCAGCGTGGGCCTATTAGACACTAATGTTCTTAAAAGCAAGTGCTAAAATAGTTATAGTGGACAGTGATGAATTTATTTTTTAATGGTGCACAAAATACGTGATAAAAGTATAATACTCAAATAATAAATACAATGACATGTTTTATAAAATATACAGGGGCATACAATACTACACGTTGTTATATAACCTACGTTTGTACATGGATTTAATTAGTGCAGCTACAGAATAGGATAAATTATCGCCCATGTGTTAAGTCGTGCATTTA